TACATGAACTAGAGGAGTTGAGGAATGAAACTTATGAAAATCATAGAATATATAAAGAAAAAACTAAAACTTTTCATGATAAATATATTAGTAGAAAAAAAAATTGATGTTGGACAAAAAGTGTGATTATATGATTCTAGGCTAAAATTATTCCTAGAAAAATTAAAATCAAAATAGATAGGGCCTTATGTGGTGGAAGAGACATATAATCATGGGGCTGTAATGATTAAAGATCCTAAAAGTGATCATAACTTTATGGTAAATGGATAGTGACTTAAACATTACATAGAACATGAACGCCTTGTAGAAAAAGAAATTTTATTATTAAAATAAATTCAAGAGTAAGATCAAGGTGTCTAGTTAGAGACATTAAATTCAGTGTTGTATGAGAGGTAACTCATGGTTTTTATTTCATTACGTTTGATTTTTTAAGCTCTATTTTTCTTTGAATTTCGTAGTACTTGTTTTTGTATTTATTTTTTTCAAAAATGTGTAGGAAGAGGAGTGTAAGATGAACTAGAAAATTAAAAATAAGGTTGAGGTGATGTCTTTCTAAGCGTTATCATTTATGACAATATTTTTAATACTTAACTTTGCATATATGCATGCTTGACTTGAAAATTATATTTTCTGTATATTCTATTTCGATTTTTTTGTCATTGAAGACAATGTCATTTTTAAGTTGGGGGTGAAGTATTTATTATTAATTTATGCTGTAGGATGATTAAGAACATGTGCTTTCACTTTACTTTTATTTTTCATGCTCACGTAGAATAGCAACTAAAATAATAATAATAATAATAAATCAGAAAAACTATAACATCTATTTTCTGGTTTTCTGTCAGGAACAATAGATTGTCAAAAATAACAAACAAAAAATAGCCCAAAATTTGAAATTCTAGAGACCCTTTTCTCACATTTTAATTCCCTAGACATATATTACTAAAATTCGAAATTACAACTATGAAGAGGATAGTTTTGATTTATTTTTGACAAATTTATTATTGCTAAAAATAGAACTGAAAATAGAAAACATAACTATCAGAACTATCTAATTTATAAATTTCTTACATCATATTGCATGCATGAAAAATTAAATCAATTAGATTGATTGATACCAAAAGATACAAGGAAGATTATTATTGAGTCAAAAGAATGATCTAGTAGCATGAAATGTTGGAATACTCCTTGGATACATGATAGATAATATGAATTTAATTTTACAGATTTTGACTTCATTATCTTGATGGATAGTATTTACTTGATGTGAAAATTTGATTGATCATTTGAGTTTAATGGAGATTTTTGCACCTTAATTTATAGGACTTGTGAGAAGAACTCACTTATTTCGGAAAAAAAAGATAAAGTAATGTGAAAAATCTAGAAACGAAGAGTACATGTGGAGGGTGTGAGACATCATTCTCATTGTCAAAAATCATATATAGAAAAACACCTACTAAAAAATAAGTGGATAAAGTGAAAGCCCTGAAAATGAAGAGTATACATAGAGGGTGTGAGACATCATTCTTATTGTCAAAATTTGTCTACAAGAAAAGTTACTTATCCATTATATATATAAAAGAAGAAAGAAAAAGAAAGAAGAAATATAGTACAAACTTTAAAAATTAAGTCATAAAAAAAGGAAAATATAGGATCAATATTATTTTTAGATGAGTATTAATAATTGAAACATCTTGTAAATATATATATGAGTGAAGAAGTGATAAAGATGTGAATAGAAGAAGTGAAGTCTAGATTGTTATTCAAAGGGTGTTTAAACATTTAAGTACTTGACATCATTCTTAAATACTTCATATAAAAATCCAAAGTGTTTAAAGGTGTATTATTTCTAAAAAAAAAATTTATGTATTGAAATATGATATTTGAGATTTGTAATTTTTTATTTTCGTAATTTCATTGCTAAAGGACTAACAATGATTTAAGTTGGGGGATGTGATAAGTCTTTATTATCATGAGTTAATAGTTAATAAATAATATAGTTTTAGCTTTAACTCATGATAAATAGACTTATATTTATGTTAAAGTGTGAAAAGTGGTTTTTAATTGATTAACATAATTTTTTGGATAATTATGTAATTTATAAAAATTTATATGATTTTTATACTCTTACTTTTGAGATAAATGAAGAAAAAGAAATAAAAATAAAAATATAACAAAATGGAAGGGACCCACTGGCCAATTGAGCTTGCAATTGGGTTGGAAGCACAATTAGGGCGGAGCCGTGAGTAGGGGCTTGAGCGGCTAGGACCAATAGGGACACATGTGCATTACTCCCTTTCCATGTCATCAGTGGTCAACTAGCTATGGGGCAAGGAGTGGTCGTACACGTGTGAGAAAGAGACTTGATTGCAAATGTATTATTATATATTTGTCAAAAACTTTGACGCACAAGTGATGTGGGACTAAACTCGTGTCACACCTTCCCCAGAAAAGGCGGGCAATCAATGCAGGTATAAAACCTCCTAGAGCTAAAACTCATATTTTTTATCTGATTATCATGACTTTCCTACATATCGTCGGTGAAAAATTAAGCCACCAAAATTGCTGAATCATCGGCAAAAATCTTGTCAACACGATTCGCAGAGCATTGTTATTAAAATTGTTGAATGATTCACAATAAAAGGATTGCGAATCTATGGAGTAAAGCCTCTCTGATTGATCAACGAACAAGCCATCGTCGGGAAGAAGATAATTTGTCAAGAGACGAGTCGTCACCTCCTAAGAGCATACCAGATACGATGAAGAGCCTCCTCTTTCTACACGAACCTGAGAATGAAGCTCCTTGACACATGCTCAACTTTCATCTAGCTCCTCTTTGTCAAGTGACAGCCACCAAAGAGCCACAAAGTTGTTATTTTTCTACTTTGTCGGGTGACAGCTGTTGGAGATGATTTAACGACTTATTTTATTGATCTCTAGACTTCGCAAGGAAATCTAGAGATTGCCCACATCATTCTTATCTAAAGAGAGCCTTTGAGGCTGTGGACACTACACGATGATCCTCTTGAACGTTCAAGATTTCAGTGCATCGTCGACACATCGCTGGTGCGATGCTGAAACTCTATTTTCTTACTTTCAACTTACTTTTCACTTCATTCAGTGATAGTTTATATAATTTAAATTTACCAAGATATACTTCATTCAATTACGATTCTTTCAATTTTTACAGATCTTAATTTGATCAATTAAATCATTTGTAATTACTTACATAAGAATCATTGAGCAAAATTCTATTTCCACTCAATTTGCGTTTGTTGGATGCTAACGTTATCTTGACATCCGCACCTTTATTTCTGTTTTTTATGAATTTTAAATATATTTCCTTTTTATTTTTTAGTATAAAATTCATAAAAAATAGTATTATTTATAAAAAAAATTAAATAATTATCAGATATTATATTATATCCTTGTGATTGACTTAAAAAATAGTTTTATTTTTGAAAGTTTTATTGAATTATAATTGATATATTTGTTTAAAAATATTTCTAAATATCTAAAAATTTATATTTTTTTAATTTTATAAATTTTAAATTTGTGTGATTTACTATACAACAACTAAGTCACGTCAGGGGATGATCTTACTAAACAACAATAGAAAGTGGTAGTTGGTTGAAGCAGTAGTGATGACACTTCAAAAGTAGTCTACAATACAAGAACAATGAGACAAGAGAAAAAGCAGCATTGAATCATAGCCACCTATTTTAGATGAGGATCAAAATTACCTCCCCCATGAACCCTCTATGTATTGGGAAGGACCCAATCTACTACTTATGCTAGGATGGAGCTACTGAAGTGAACCATGGGTTTTGGAAACCCTTTTTCTTCGACTAGACTGTTGTCCATAAACTTTGAAACTTAAAACTACAATGAGAAAAATATTTGAAAAAATATCAGAAAATGGCAATGTTAAATTTTTCATTTATCATTCTCCAACTCAAATCAATTATGATTTTTTTTTTGCAATTATTTCGTTAACATGATGAACATGGTACCACAAGGAAGAAATTTCTGAACCGTGCTAGCTATTGGACATCATGCAACGTTATAGGTAAAATAACACCAAGGCCATAAGTGTTCGAGTTTAATTTCAACTTAAATCAGGCAGAACTAAAGATAGAATGTCAATCTGACAAAAGCCTACCAAAACTTAAAATCAAATAGTATTTTTCGATGTAAGACTACTATTAAATCTTAAATATTAATTTAGAAAAAAAATATCTATACATTATGACTTTTTTACAAAAAACAATTTGGGCTAATATTGGGCCAGCACAAATAAGATGTATGACTTTTTTACTAAACGTTCAGTTACACAAATAAGATGTAGAATTTTTAATTGTGGGCCAGCACAGTAGCAGCTAATATGGTGCTATTACCATTACTAAAATTAAACTAAAACAAGAGCAGAGCATTTTGATCATTGACGTTGGCATTGATTTATAAAAAAATCGTTTTCAACTCTTTTATTATTGTCTAGTGACTGAGTCGTACATTCTGAAAAAATATATTTAGCATCTCAATAGTTTGGATACAAAAAAATAATTTTTTTTGCTTAAAATATTCAATAAAAGGAAGTAATAAATGGATTAGATATTCAATAAATGGATTATAATCTATTTCAGATAATATATCATTCCCTCCGAAAACTCAGAGAGTAGCCCATTTGGTTTTTGGTAACAAATCATATTCAACAGGCTCATCAAACAGTCACTATAAGTAATGATCGGATCACATCCAACCATTCTCTTCTCTTTCTTTCACTCTCTTATTCTCCTTTCTCAAGATGATTACGTGAGGACTTGAATTTAGACAACTAGGATCTCTAATCTAAACTTCCATATAAGCCTTGGATAATGATAATGGACGAACAATGTACAGAGGATACCAAAAAGAAAAAAAACTTGTGGTAGATGATTCTTCAAGGTACAGAAGCAAAAGTTGCAAAATTTCTCCACCATTCTTCACAGGATTCAGTTACTTCAGACCTTGTGGTACTTGTACTTCTGCCCCAAGTTGAATCTCTCTATGTTGTCGGTGAAGCCCTTCAGAACTAAAGTCCTAATGGCACCGACACCTTGATCAAGAGCGGCATCAATCTGTAGGAAGCAACAAGGGGTACCGGAACCGTGAGGATGAATAAGGGGCAGTGGATTCCACCAAAGAAACTATCTTCATACTCAGAGGCCCGTTCGGATGGAGTGATGACAGATTTCTGTTCAATGAACCCAGTCTCTACTTTATTACGACAGCCTAATTGGACTTTAATATAATTGCATACTTTGTGTAACCGTGATCTCCCACTCTCCTGTCTAATAAACCTCATGGGAGAGCAGGGCCTCCAGAATCGGATTGGGTTATTCCAATGCCAACCAAGGTCATATGAATTCTGTGTACCATGGTCTCCACATGCACAGAATTTAACAGACATTATGAGATTTCCAATGCCTTCAGCAAGTTATTTAGAAAAAAATCTTGCATATAAAAAAGGAGATTATTGACTCTGAGAAAAAGCAGCCATAGAATAAAATGATGCAAAAAGTATAAACCATTCCAAAAAAACTCATCTCGAAACATGAAGCACAGGAGAAGGGTATGGTTCTGAGTATGACTTCCAAATGAACTATAACTAGGTCGCTTACCAAGTACTTTCAAAGCTTACCAAATGATTTTCACTTTTATATGAAAATTACCAAGAGTTGATGAGTGAAGACAACAAGATTCAATCTATGGAGATGCAGTGATAATGGTGGAAGTCATCCAAAGAAGGGGTCGCTAGCAAAGGAGAGAAGAAGCCTGAGGAAAGTAGGGATGCTGAAAATTGCAGTCCTAGGATTTTTCTATTTTCTTTACATCTTCTTCAGCCATGTCTTTTGAATGGAGCACACAAAGCACTTATGCTATTTTTAAAGAATGATGCATTGCATCCTCCGAATCTCCCCCCCGAATCAGCAACTCTAGATTACTTTAGAAGAAAAACTAGAGTAGATGCAATGATTAGGTATAACTGCTGGCTACCCATTGCATAACAGTTCAGATATATGGACTTGACACTAGCCAGTGCAGGACCAACTAAAAGAATGTCGGAAAAGGAATGGCAAGGTTCTATTTACAACCTCCTTGTAAATGGATCCATTTAATCAGAGAAATCGAATCACCATCTCATTACCGAAACTATAAAGGTACATCTATCAGGCACGTTTGTCAAAGCAGACCTGCTCACGCTCCTGTGGGCTGAATTTCTGAAGAAGAAAGGCTTTCATATCCATTTTCCCCGGTGGATTACCAATTCCTGCAGGTGCCATACAGGTGTCCAGGTCATCCTGTAAAAGATGGGCAAGATGATTACGCATGTATGATCCTTACCTATGGACAGCCGAGGAAATTCACGACATCCATCCAAGTGGTCCATGACATTCTTCAACCTGTATGAAAATAAAAAAAGCAGATGCTGCATCAGTTGTAATTTCCAGATCATGCAACAAGGTTAAATGCACTAAATGTATTATTTTCACCAGCCATAAATTTTACTTTGCAGATAAAAAGACCAAAGAAATAGACTGCAAGATTCCATCATAGCTAAATAAAGCTTTTTTGGTTCTCTCAATGAAGCCCATCAAGTTCTAAATTTAGGAGAGAGCTCCCAGGGAAGCCCTTTCAGGAAAATTTTAGCTCCAAAATAAGCAAGTAGACAGCACTAGGCGATGGAAGAAAAATAACTGTCCCTTTCGGGATCTTCTTGTAGTCTTTTAATTAACAATGATTTAGATAACAAAATCAGGCGAATTTCCAACCAAATCACGTTGGGATTAGGAAAGGTCTATTCTATCTGCATTCTCTATAACCAGATTCTAGAGTGAATAAATACTTAGGCTGATTAACCAGATTCTCTATAACCAATGATTGAAGCATCAGCGACATAAAAATTCGTTACTGATAAATACTTACTATCCTTTTTCTAGAGTGAAGCATCTTCCATCAACGAATGGCCTGATAAGAGACCTAGACTCAAAATATTTGTTTCTTATTTTCATGTTATATATACTACTATTGGTTCTTGGACAGAGAAAAAGGTAAAGTGAACCTTCATGACGAATTGGGTGGGGGAGTGGTGTGGATGAAGAGGCCCTCATTCCACAAAATATTGACTTTGGCACAAAAACAAAGGCAGGTTTCCATATCAAGCGCTAAGATTCTTGAAAATGTTTTCTTACCGAGACATAAACATGTTTCCTCCTAACAATCTTTCATCATTAAAAAGTTAGCCATCTTCACTTGTTCTACTCACTCTTATGAACGGAAATTGTAGCCCTCCTATCACCATTCTTCTTATTTCTAGTTATAGTTGTTGTTGTTGTTGTTGTTGTCATTTGTGGTGGTTCTGCTACTTACAGTTTTACACTGTTGCTTTGTACTCTCATCAAACATTGCTTCATTATGGAAAGCAATTGCTTGATGCCTCCTTAAACGATACCCAACGTATTTTGCTAATAACAGTAACTGGTTTCTAGTATCATTCATGATTCAAAGGTAATAAATGCTCTCTTTCACTGATGTATGACACTCTATTAGAGTTCATCCTACCGGTCTCTTCCAATTTTCAACATCCCTCAGATCATCCATTATTCAGATGGAGCTCCCTTAATGCTCTTGTCTAAGACATGTTTCAGAGTAACCATCGTCTTCCACATCATTATTTCCAGGTAGTTTCTTCCCTTCATGATAATTTTGAAAAAGTAAGAAAACAGTGATCTTAAACAACCGGCCATTTGCCTAAGTAGTAGACGACGAGACAGTATGCTGGTTGCCCATGACCTCTTGCTCTCAACCAGAGTTTAGATCAGCAGAAAATGGAGACACGCAAATCAAAAAAAGAAACTGGGTCAAATTACATTTGATTGGAACTGGGAAAAATAGAGAAACCTAAACCGATCTGGCATTCGACTTAGCAGGAATTAGGCATGCTAGGTTCATAATCCATCCGCCTCTGAGTTTATTTTAATATCCCCCCCCCCCCCCCAAACTCATTAAAATAGCATCCATAAAATATTACATAAAGTTAAGTAAGTTTGACAAAATTTGATCGTGTTTGATTTTCACTTTATGTTTACCATCTCCACTTCCATCAAAACACTAATTTTTTATTCCCATATTACCTTTCTTTTCCCCTTACGTTTATAGCATACTCTGATATTTGAATTATCTGACATCGCAGATGATTAACATATAGTGAAATTTTCATATTTAATTCCTCCATAAGCACTTTCCTTTTTTAGAGTGTCCACCCCTAACACATGCACCAAAAGCACTAGAAATGTATCATCAAAAGGGGAGAAGGGAGGAAGACGTCAAGCCTACCATGAGATAACCAGTACGCAATATCCCAATCCGAAGTTTTCAAAGCTTTTAAAACAATAGGTGGTAATATAGAATGACAGAACAAGGAAAATAAAGTGCCATCATATAGGAAGAAGACTCTAGTCAGAAGGTAAGAGTTCTCCCAATCACCTTCACAGAAAAATCTCAAAGACTAGAACCCTCAGGGTCAGAATAAAACATACAACGTGAAGGCATCGTGAGTCTCCAGATAGAGCAACTTGTATGTATGCTAGATAATATGAGGAAATTCACAAGAAGTTGGTACTTGAGCTAAGACTGTTCATGACTAAAGTGTGATTAAGAAAATAAGACGCTCGATTAAATAAATACCCATTATGGTGACCATGTCCGCCCTTTGGCTGAAGCCTTAAGATACCATTTGGTAAACTCATTTCATCATAAACCTATGATCAGCACAAGATCCATTTTGTGTCAAAAGCAACATGTTTATTGATATATTTATACATAGCTGGATTACATCAGTTTTACAATGAAGTTTCAGGCATACCAATAAGATATGGCGAAGAGGCACCTGATAATATGCAGCAATCGGTCCTACCTTCAATACACAGAAGTAAATTATTTCAGATAACAATTCCTACAGCCCATGCTTATAAAAGGAAAAAATACACTGAAGGCATCAGAAAGAACAATAATGGCAACTAAAAATATCCATTCTTTAGGAACTGAAAGGATAAGCAAACAGATTGCGGACTGATAGTGCTTTCCTTGATTCCCTCAGATCACGTTTTACCTATCTATGGTTTAATACTTTCTTGATGACGGTTAGATGGTGATAAGTGGAAATACAATCGTCCTACATAATGAAAGAAAAAGATCAAAGAGGTTCGCCTCTGACCATCAAATTAAATGTGAATAACCCGTCTTCCTCTCTTTGAAACAAGAGGCGCTTCCGGTTCTGTCCGTGCTTCAAACAATTTTGTCTTCTCCATGTTACCATATCCCTAGAGTCAATAATTTTATATGAGGAACTACTGAACTCAATCACTTGCTGCCGTTACTCAAAAGTTTTCTGTTGAGGTCTATCCCGTTGAGGTACTCAATTTGGATCAGTGATCGATTTCAAGGAAATTAATAGAAATTAGAAATCACCAAGAAACCTTTTACGTGTTTCATAAAGTCTTTCAAGCACAAAACCCTAAAATTCGTCAGTTTCAATAGATAAATAATATCTCACATTCGTTCTCCTCTAAAATCATAACTGATGATTTGAATATGATTCCAGAATTTTTTTTTTGGAGTCTTACTGGCGCTAGACATGGTCCTGGCAATTACTTATTCCCAGTTTCATTTTTCTAAGCTTAAGAAGTATTATTTTAAAGAAAAGACGATCATTCCTAAAAATGAGCTAATATTGACGAGACAATATTATAATTTTTTATTAAAAAATGCATGTGAATTTACCACTTTATTCCAGTTTTTCAATTAAATATTGGAAACTCAGTTTAGTGGATGCACACAAAAACGTCAGATAATGAAACCGGAAATAAAAGACACTCGTGAATGCAGTTACCCGAGAATCAGCTTCCTTCTAACATGAGAATATCAAATAAAACACCCACAATAAACGAGATAAATTCTCCAAAACTGAAGATTCTTTCTTCCCACTCATCTTTTCCTTGTTACTAGGAGAAGGTGGAGAGCTCACCGACTCTCCACTGAAATTCATGTATGCCTGAGGCTTTGCAAGCAGAATTGGTACTTCTCCGATTGAACCTGCGCGGCCACTCTACCATATCAGCAGAGAAAAATACACTTTTTCGAAGATTTCACTCGACTCAAGGTCGGCAAATCGAGGAAGAGAAAACGAAAACAACAGGTGACCGCACCTATCCCAATTAGTGCCTTGGACTGTATCGTGTTCATGGAGATACCCTCTCTTGTAGCAATACGATCGATCATCTCAAAGCCAATCTGCTATCCACAAAACAAAAAATAACAAAAGAAAAGAAAATACAAAGGTGAGAACTCCGCCTGTCAATTCGCCGTTCTATCCGAAACGGACCAGGAACGATGAACACATAACAACAAAAGTTCCTCACATTGTGTCGGGTACCATGGTACTTGTTTCCCGGGTTCCCAAGGCCCACGATGAGCCACGGCGTGTACTCCACTCGCAACCCGTCGGCGTCCGGCAACGACGCGGACACCTGCCATGCAGCTCGCCGGATTTCAACCAGGCGCCTCCGCTGATTAAGCGGGAACCCGCCCTGGTGAAAGGTACTGCGGTGAGACAGACGCCGCGTTGTGCAGAGAGCGGTACCGGGGGGGGAGGTCGCGGCCAACATCTACCGACGAGAAGGCTCTGCGCGGGGACGCCTACCGGCGACTGATGGAGTAGGTTCGGCGGAGCAGGAAGGAGACGGCGCGAGGGCTTCCGGCAGGTGTCGGCCGCGCGCACCGAGTAGATATGCTCTCAGCGCCTCGTTTCCGCCCTTAGAAATTAACATTAAAAAATAAAATAAAAAAGTAAAATAGAAATAAAAACTTTAAATTTAAATTTCGACCCGTTGCCCGGCGTCTCAACTGGGGCAAATATATGATATTTACATTTTTATAAAATCATAACTAAAACAGGCATTATATGATATTTTTCGCACCATATAAAATCAAAACTGACTAGATATAAGTTGGATTTTGATTTAGTAATTTTTTATTGTTGAAAAAAAGTCCCAGCTTTTCTCCTACACCACTCTCTCTCTCTCTCTCTCACACACACACACACACACACACACTTGATCCCCCCCACTTTTCCTCCCTAAGTTGTCGCTAAAGAGTCCTTGTTCATTATTAATATGGGATATATATTGCACGTCACCATGGATTTAATTCAACAATAATGCACCATGAAAAATGGCAGGAAAATTCTGATAAGATATTGACAGCAGATCGGAAAGCATTGGTCATACAGACTAAATATATAAGTTATTTTTTGATATTATGGGATCCTAGCAATATCCGGAAAATATTAATTCAGGTAATTCAAATAAAAATTGGCCAAAAAAATTGAAAAATGTATAACAAAGATAAAATTATGCATTTTTTAAATATCATAAACTGTTCGTCATTAATGACATTGGAGTGTTTAAAATATAGTGTGCGCGTGGGGTGGGGCCCACTTGCCAGCAGAGCATCATCTTCTCAGCCATGATTATCCCACCCGATGATGGGAGAGCGCTACCGGATCGCCACGTAATGATGCGCTGACGTGGCCTTCTATCTCGGAGACCGTTTGTCTTCTTCTTCCCTGCTCGACGGAGGTGGCGACGACCGGCGGCAATTGCCCTTTAGCAGCGAAGATCGCTACATCGCAATCCTCTCTCTCTCTCTCTCTCTCTCTCTCGCTCTTCTGGTTCGGTGGTCTTTCTGCATCTCTCTGATCTCTCAGATCTGGTGTTTGGCGAGGTTACGCAGGAGACGTAGGTGGGAGGCCAGATTCAGGCTTCATTCCCCGTCAAAGTCCACTTGGGAACTCTCTCCTTTTGACTTCTCTCCTCTCCGAGGCGCCATTAAAGCACGAGCAGTATCGTGCGTCACGGTCCCCGCCCAAACCCCACGGCTTCCGGACGTTTTGCGTCTTTCCTGCTGTTTTGAGAAGTCGGGGAAACAGTATTGGTTCCCTCTCCTCCTCTTCCTTTCTCGCAGTAGTCAGCAGCACCCTTCCTTAAGATCTCTCTCTTTCTCTATCTGCCTCTCTTCGTATGTTTGCGGGCTTTCGGTGCACGCATTCTGATTAGTTGTTGGATATTTTTTCACTCTTGTTTTCGGAGTTTATTGTTGATTAAGATCGGCGGAACACCCTGTAGTTCAATCGGGAAGCGGATCAAACATGTTTATGGGTTCTGTCCATGATGGTGAGATTGACCACAAATACAGCGGCCTTATAATGTGCTTCGCTGGCCCATTCGATTCCTTCTTGCGCCCCGATCCGGCCATTGCTTGCCTTTTTTTTCCTTTAAGCAATTCACTCGATCTGTCTATTCCTGAGATATACGTTGAATGTTCTATTATTGCCCTTCGATGATCTATCTCGTTTCTGGAGCACACTTCGATGATCTATTATGCTCTCGGTTTGATCTACTCTTGTGGTTCTCTCTGTTGATGACCGCAGTGGAAACTGACAAGAAGAGAAGATGCCAGCCGCTACGTTGGCAGTCCATGGGGGCATAATTACTGGTCTCACCCGGGGTACGAGGGTGTCGTCTAGGTTTTGCGCGTCCTGGAAGACGGATTTTCCTGGTGTGGCGAAGTGTGGAAGCCCGATGCCTGACCGAGGCCACTGCTGCGGACCACATCTTGGTTCGCTTCCGAAGGCAATGGAGATGATGCGGTTCGGTCGTGGAGTGGAAAGTAGCACTAGGTCAACACCAAAGTTCCGAAGAATAAGAGCACAGAGCTCTGGTGAGTTTCATCTTATTATCAGTGGCCATGGATATGTACCCATGCATTTCCCGTGTTCTTCAGTGTATCTACGTGTCTATATTTATTTTTGAAATCAATTTTTTGTATTATAATCTGGAAGCTACTGTTTTTGTCCCAGACTATCCGTTTCATCTGAAGATGAGGTGGTTTTCCCTCCACATTCCTTTGGATATTGTTCGTCAGGATTCTGTATTCTATAACCCACTTTCGTCACAATATCTTATTTTTTGTCTTCACATATGCCTGGACATAATGATTCGTACAAATAGAAAATATACCAATAGGCCTTGTCAACTTCTACCATCAGATCATGGCTCTTTTCGTTTTTTTCAATTTCTCGAGAATGATAACTTTTAAAACCAAGGTTATACTTATTTTCACCATATACAGGATCCAATTTTGTTCCAGCGCCTGATTTATTCTTTGCAGAAATCATCAATACTCAATATATTTCATTAAATCCATTGTCAGTACATGATTGAAACTACATGTTGGACTGTCACTTGCTTCTGCTCGTTCAGATTGAGAACCAAACCCTGAATTCTTGTGGATAAGTGAACTGATTTATAGGTGATAATATGGGAAGAAAAAAAAGTGAACTCATTTAATGAATCATGTCGGTCATTGTATAGTTAACACCATCCACTGGTTTTTACGTTATCAACTTTAGCCTTTTTTGGAGATCCATGTATTCCCATGTCAACCTAGTTACTGGTTTGATGATCCTTGTTCATCTTTCTAAGATTTAACGAGTTTGCCAACAACGTAATATCCAGTTCATAATGGTAACGCAAAGCTCCGTGACACAGATATAGATCAATTAATACTTTTTCATGGACTAGCATGGGTATTATCTTCAATGATAGTGACATTTATTGACTTAGCATATGATTTTACTCATCCTGCAGAGGGAGATATTGAGGACGCTTCCTCCCACAAGATTCAGACGAAATCTTCTGGGACAGTTCTACCATATGTCGGTATCGCATGCCTTGGGGCTATTTTGTTTGGATATCATCTCGGGTAGCTACTCTTCTCCTGTTTGATTTCGTGTACCACTGATCGTAGCGTTAAAGCTATCGTAATGTTGCACTTTTCACATGTCTGTTTGTATTGATGCCTTTTAAGTAGTTGGAATTTTTCTATTTCCCCAACATAGTCAGGAGAGACGTCCGAACATTTTACCAATCACATTCCCTTTGCAGTGTTGTTAATGGAGCACTTGAATATCTTTCTAAGGATCTTGGAATTGCAGAGAACACTAATTTACAAGGTCAGTCCACAAATCTCTTTGAATAATTTATGATTAGTTTGGTGATTTTTTGGGTGCTATCTATCCGGAAGTAAAAATATCTTTGTCAAAACTGGAGGCTTAGTATTGCAGCCTGTTTTATCATCCTCGTTTGTTGTTCATTTGCCTTTGAATTATAATTAAGATCACATTGATTTAAGTTTACAAATATTTCCCTCATTGGCTGCATTTTTCGTTGCAGGATGGATTGTAAGCGCACTTCTTGCTGGGGCCACTGTTGGGTCCTTCACAGGGGGGTCTTTGGCTGACAAATTTGGTCGAACAAAAACGTTTCAGCTAGATTCGATTCCTCTTATTATTGGGTCCTTTCTTTGGTATGTCTTGCGTCCCTTGTTTTACTTTACCCTGTTTTATTTGATTTTTCCTCATATGATTTTATTTGGTTAACCTTGTAAAAAAGAAAACTTCCTGTCAGTGCTACCGCGCAGGATGTGCGTACAATGATAATTGGCCGTCTACTTGCTGGAATTGGAATTGGTGTTTCCTCTGCCATTGTTCCGCTGTACATATCTGAGGTAGTAATGAAAATTATTATTCCTAATTTTCGTTCTTTTCAGTTTTTCCACCCCTAACATTCTGACAATTCAGATATCGCCGACTGAGATACGTGGAGCACTTGGATCTGTGAACCAGCTTTCTATATGCATTGGCATCCTTGGTGCTTTGGTGGCCGGACTCCCTTTAGCTGGAAATCCTCTTTGGTACATGTTTCTCGTGCTTCAAAAGATAATTCTGTGCAGTATCATTTATCAATCCTGAATCATAATTTCTGGTGTCATTTCCAAATGCCTTCATAAGTTTTTGTGAATGAATCTATACTAGAAAATGAAGTTGGTAAATGTTTATAAAGATATCTATTTTCAAGTTAGCGGAAAGCATACTTCATATCTATTTACAGGATCGTCACAGCTGTGTTGACTTTTATTGTTAGTTGGAAATTTAAACTTTCAGGTTTGAACCCTGGTTGATGGCTGATTAATTAATGAAAGCCATGCAGATGTATAGGATCTTGGATCCTTGCACAGAGTGGGAGGGCCTTGTATTGATAAATTGGGACACTTTTGTTTCCGTTCACATATTTTCATCTTCCTCTTTCTTTTTTACGTTGATTCTGGAAATCACAAGCTCTTAGAGAATCAATTCAATTAGAGAATCACTAAAGAGATCCATTAAATTAGAGAATCACAAAAGAGATCTATTAAATTAGCGCATCTCTCCAGGCCCATTGAATTTACATGGTCTTTCAAACTTCTGTATGATTTCCCTCAAAATATCATCATATAATTCTATTTTTCATTCATTAATCAGGTGGAGAACCATTTTCGGGATTGCAATCGTTCCTTCTGTTTTAATGGGACTGGGAATGGTTTTCTCTCCAGAAAGTCCCCGTTGGCTTTTCCAGGTGCTGTCTTGAATATGTGTATATTTCCTTTCTGAGTTTATATGGTTAGATTCTTCGTTCTCAGTTGTTGGATCTCTTATTCTATAGCAAGGGAAAACAAGTCAGGCAGAATCAGCAGTAAAATCACTATATGGTGCTCAAAAAGTTGATGAAGTCATGAATGACTTACGAACTGGTGGCGGCCAGAGCTCTGGAGAGCATGATGCCGGTTGGTTGGAACTGTTCAGCAAACGCTATTGGAAAAGTATGAAATTTTTGTTTCACTTCTTCATTTTTTGAAGAGGGTCTGAGACTTTTTTCTGCACAGAATCATTTGCGTGATGCACTTGGTGTATGCCACCAGGAAATAGATGCGTTAGTGTGGTTGCATATAAACTGCTGCTTTAGTTAGTGCATCCGTGCATTGCAATAGGACTCAAAACTTACCATATTCTACCGTTTACTTCAGATTACGAAGACATATATTTACAATAAAAACAGCTTAGTCTTTTTATGCACGTAGGAATTCACCTATTCTTTCACGCTCGGAACCTCGTTTCAGAACATCCAAATTCAGCTTTATGACGTCTGATAATTTACAAGACCTGGCGTTACTTTCAATTTTTTATTTATGTCGGTGTAGTGGCCATTTGTGTGCTTTTCTGTGATTATATATATGTAGAAGGAAATCACTTTAGTTAGATGACAGATTTATTTGTGTCAATTATGCATCTTTTCCCACATGTTAGCAGATTATTCCCATCATGTTAACAGAGGTACATGGGTGTTCTTTGAACTCAGAGGCATGATAGTGCAAAGGTTGAACATCATGTCAACTAAGGTTGCTGGAGAAATGACAGAGAAGAAGGGAAAAAGAGTTTGTGATTTACCATGAAACGAAAGAAGGTTCCTCTTGAGTGTTTCCCAGGCGTTGACAGTATGGTTTGTTTGGACAATTCCTGAATCCATTGTAATTCGATTATTGAGCGACTTAACTTTTACTTTGTCGATCATCACTAGCAAATCACGAACAGTCTCCTTTGTATTGTTGAAAATGTGTAGAATTCTTTCTACTTTGTTCTCTACCTTGCATTACTGTTAGATAATACCAGTCGTATGCTATGCTTTTTTCTTTTTTCTCTAACTTTCACCAATAACAACTGCAGTTGTGAGTATTGGGGCAGCACTTTTCTTGTTTCAACAGCTAGCTGGAATAAACGCGGTGGTTTACTATTCTACATCCGTATTCCGTAATGCTGGGATCACTTCTGATGTTGCAGCCAGTGCTCTTGTTGGGGCGTCGAACGTTTTTGGTCAGAGTATTCCTCTTCCTTGCAATCATTGGGCAGAAAAATGGTCTGATTTCAGCTTCTCATATTTTTTTCTAATTCATTTCATTGCTGGATCTGTGTTTGCAGGAACGGCCGTTGCATCTTCTTTAATGGACAAGCAAGGGAGGAAAAGCCTTCTGACGATTAGCTTTGTGGGGATGGTAAACACTTCCTCTGGCACAAAACATCTATGAATTTTTAGTCTCAAAACTCTGGTTTATGTTGTAGCATTTCGAATGGAAATACCTTGCATATGTCGTCTTAATACCAGGAAGAAAGTCAACGGTTGGACCTTGGGGCAGCAAGTGGGAAGTTGATAGCTGTAGAGGACTATGGCCCTATGACCAGCATGATGAGCTCGACACAGTCAACGGACATGGCTTCTTAGGGATCCAGATAGTGGGATGGCAGAAGTATTAGGGAACGGAGGAATTTCGTACGGTCGGTTGGCTCATCTCTGGAGATAGCAGTTTTGGAGGTAAAAATGGAAGGTAGCTACTCTCCGTGTTTATTCTTCGTCAAGGGGTTGACCCGTTCCTGGGTGAAATATTATGTAACGGATGAAGAGCAGAAAAAGGATCATTACTGCAGATTTCGTACGGTGGGTTGACTCATATTTGATTATAGCAGTTTAGGAGATTAAAAATGCAAGGTTTTTAATTGAGGAGTTGACATTCAGATGGTAGCTACTCTCGGGATTAAACTTCGTCAAGGGGTTGACCTGTTCCTGGCTGAAACAATCATCCGGAGATCCTCTCAAAAACATTCTCCTGACGGAGGTTGATGAGGATAAACCATCTTTCTAGGCAATTCATGGTTTCATGTTGTTTTAGATCGTGGATTCTGCCATGGCTTGATTCATCTCCAGCTGATCAATGTGGAAGACGAGCCATTTTGCGGCTGCTCAGCCATGGATACTTCAGTGACGAATATTCCATGTCTTCTGCTTGCAGGGTGCCTCCATGCTGCTGCTCTCCCTGTCATCTTCCTGGAGCGTCCTGGCGCCATACACTGGAACCCTAGCCGTCTTCGGGACCGTCATGTAAGTGGAAGGAGGCATTTCACTTCCAACCATGCAGACTATTTACCGTAAAAATAATAATAGTAATAATAATAATAATGGGTATGGCTCTTCTCCCTGTGTTCAAACAGCTACGTCCTGTCCTTCTCCCTGGGCGCCGGCCCCGTCCCCGCCCTTCTCCTCCCCGAGATATTCGCCTCCAGGATCCGCGCCAAGGCCGTCGCCCTCTCTCTGGGGATGCACTGGGTAAGAAAGCTCCCTCCGCCCGCCCCCTTCCGTCATCCTCATTCCCGCTAGGGTTTCTTCGTCCTCTAGGGTCTCTTCTGGTGATGGTCTGAGCTCTGGTGGCATGCAGGTGTCCAACTTCGTGATCGGGCTGTACTTTCTGAGCGTGGTGAACAGGTTTGGGATCAGCAGGGTTTATCTGGGGTTCGCCAGCGTGTGCCTACTCGCCGTCCTCTACATCGCCCGGAATGTGGTGGAGACGAAGGGCCGCTCCCTGGAGGAGATCGAGCGCGCCCTCAGCGCCACCGCCCTCTGACCACCTCGACCTCCTCTCCTCTTCACCTCTTCTTCTTCTTCTTCTTCTTCTCTGCTGGAACTTGTGGAGAGGTTTCTAGGGTTTTCTGAGCCTCCTGCTCTGGACTTCTTGACGGTTACATTTTCTCTGCTGCTGCTGCCTAAAGAGGAGGAAACACGGAGAGGGGATGGAGGGTTGACTTTCAACTCCAGGGTTTGGCATTTAAGGTCAAACAATAAGTGGGGGCTTTTGTTTTGTTTTTTTTATCTAAATAACTGTGGGTGACCTGGAACTCGGATAGAACGGGAGGATTACCTTAAAAAAATGCAATCTTTTCAACTGTACTGAATGAATTGACCATCTTGAATCCACCATCTGAATCTCCCATGATTTGGTATTTAATGGGAAGGAACGGGAAACCAGTTGAGGGGTGGATGAGAGTAGAGAGAGAGAGGGAGAGAGAGAGGGAGAGGGAGAGTGAAAGAGAGAGAGAGTTGGGTCTGATGAGTTCCGTCGAAGAGGGAGACTCTGGGGATGGCATACTAAGAAGCCAGGGAGGGTTAAGAGCGGCGGCACGGGGCGGCGCCGCCGGGCTTCATTAGCCGCCCTCCTCGCTCGGCTGCTCCGCTCCTTCCTCCTCCCCTCGCCCGCTCCACTGGGTCTCCTCCTCCGCCCTCCTCCCACGTAGCAGGGGTGGCGTCGCTCGATGAGGATTTCCGGCGAGCAGGTGGCCGGTGTCCGTCTCGCCGGGAGTTTCGCCGCCGGAGTCTTCTCCCCGAGGAGCTCCTTCGCCCTCTTTTCTCACACTCGCAGCTCCACCACCACCATCGGGGGCGGCGGCGGCGATGGCGGCGGCGATGAGGTCCTTCCGTGGATATCCCCCCTGCAGTACAGCAGCAGCAGCAGCAGCAGCAGCCTCAGCCCCTCCCGGCCGGCAGCGCCACCACCACCGGCGGCACCGCCGGGCTCCCGCGCCCGCTACATCACCCACGGCGAGGCCATCCGCATGATCGTCGGTGAGCCCGACCCGCAGCGCGCCCTTGACATCTTTAACTTCGCGGCGGAGCGGCAGCGGGGGTTCAGCCACAACAATGCCACCTACGCCGCCGTCCTCCGCCGGCTCGCGGCGGCGCGGCGGTTCCCCGCCGTGGACGCCCTCCTCCGCCGCATGCGCCTCGAACCCTGCCGGTTTGAGGAGGGCCCCCTGCTCAACCTCATGCGTCACTTCTCCGCCGCCGGCATGCCAGAGAGAGCCCTCGAGCTGCTTCACTCCATCCCCTCCCTAGTGCGTCGCCCCCGCCCCTCCACCCGCGCCGTCGCTGCCTGCCTGGACCTCCTCCTCGCCGCCGCCCGCTCGGATCTCGCCGGCGAGCTCCTCGCCGCTGCCCGCCGGAAGTACGGCATCTCCCCCAACGCCTGTCTCTGCAATATCCTCGTCAAGTACCACTGCCGCTCCGGCGAGCTCCCCTCCGCCTTCCGAGTCCTCGCCCAGATGAGGGCGAGCAAGATCAAGGAGCAGGATCATGGCGGCGGCGCTTCCTCCGCCGGCCCGAACAGGGTGACCTTCACGACGCTGATGGGGGCGCTCTGCAGGGAGGGGAGGCTGAAGGTGGCGTTCGAGCTCTTCGAGGAGATGATCGCCGTCGACGGCATCCTCCCCGACCAGCTCACCTTCAACGTCCTGATCGACGGCTTCTGCCGGAGCGGGGAGGTCGACAGAGCCGCCCACATCCTCGCCTTCATGCGCCGCCATGGCTGCGATCCCAACGCCGTCAACTTCTCCACCCTCATGAACGGCCTCTGCCTGGCCGGCAGGATCGAGGACGCCATGGCCGTCTTCTCCGACATGAAGACGACCTCCCCGGCGGCGCCGCCCGACGCCGTCGCCTACACCACCCTCATCAGCTGCCTCTGCAAGAGCCAGAGGGTCGACGAAGCCCTCGCCCTAGCAAGGGAGATGAACCAGAGCGGGGGATGCCGGCCCGACGTGGTCGCCGTCAACGTTCTGATTGGGGGGCTTTGCAGGGAGGGGAGGACCCGGGAAGCCGCCGCCCTGATGGAGGAGCTCGCCGGAGATGGGCTGAAGCTGAACAGAGCGAGCTACAGGATTCTCATGAACCGCCTCTGCGAAGACGGGGATCTGGACAGGGCGGCGCCGCTACTGGGCCTGATGCTCGCGAGGGGAGTGCTCCCCCACTTCGCGACCTCGAATGCGCTGCTGGTGAAGCTCTGCGACGCTGGGAGAATGGCGGAGGCCGGGGGGGCTCTGCGGAGCTTGGCGGCGGCGGGATTTACGCCGGAGACCGGAGCGTGGCTCCGGCTGGTCGAGTCCTTCTGTCGAGAGAGGAAGCTTTCCCGGTCCCTTGACCTGGTCGACAGGCTGACCTCCACCACAGGGGAGGGTCGTCTTCTTCTTCCTCAAGCTCAGGACGGCCTGCTGCTGCCGCCCCCATTGATGACCTCCTGAAATAGAAGCTACAGAGAAGAGAAACTTTTCACCGGTACCAGGCTCTCTCTCTGTCTCTCTCTACACACCGCAAATTGGCCGAGATTCACTTCCAGTTTGAGATTTCATAGTTTTGGTAAAAAAACCCAAGAAAGAGAAAACAATTTTTTTTACTCCGCCCATCAAATAATGGCTGAGAGATTTTTCGAGAGGCTGGGAGGGGGGCTTCTACACCTTCTCCATTCTCTCTCTCTCTCTCACACACTCCGCCGTCATCCAATTTTCCAAGGACTAAAAGCGAAGAAGGAAACGTACAGGGGCTTTTTTGCTGTGAGCAGGATTTATGAGGGCTTAAAAATAAGATCTCACTTTCAGTTTATGTTTTATTTTTTTAATAATAAAGGTGGTGGCCCCAAATGGATCAGGTTCGGCCCCAGAAGCCCATTATGGGCCCGTTTATTGCTTGGCCCAATAAGTTGACCCACGTCAGCCCTAGCCCCCTTCCCAATATGTTCCCTTCCCTTGCCCCCCTCAGCCGCGGTCTGAGGACCTCTCTCTCATCAACATCATCATCAGTTTCGTCTTTGCCAGATCCCTGAAAACCCTAGATCGCCGATCTGCAGCGCCTTTGAGGCCGCCCGTCTTCGCCCCCTGCGTCCCTTCTCCGCGCCGGCCATGGTTTTCGAGGTCGGACCCGTCCCCTTCAACCCCGACGGCTGGGGCCCCCCGGAAGTGCCCGCGTCCCCCGTCCTCTACAAGCCGATCGGCCCGGACGGCGCCGCCGTTCCTCACCACCATCCTCCGAACGTCCCCTTTGCCCCCTTCTCCCGATCGGAGAAGCTAGGCCGCATCGCCGACTGGACGCGCAACCCCGCCGGGTACGGCAACCTCGGCCCCGGCGGCCGAGGCGGCGCCGCCGGCGTCTTCGATTTCGCCCTCGACGAGTCCTCTGCCCTCGCCGCCGCCGCGGACGACGACTCCACCTTCCGCCTCGTCGACGGCAAGCCGCCGCCGCGCCCCAAGTTCGGTCCCCGGTGGCGCTTCCAGCAGCGCCCCCAGCTGCCGCAGCGCCGCGATGAGGAGGTCGAGGCCCGCAAGCGCGAGGCCGAGAAGGAGCGCGCTCGCCGGGATCGCCTTTACCACCAGAGCCGCTCCGCCGTCGGTGGTCCCGGCGGCGTCGCCGGTGCCGGCCGCCGCGAGGCGGCGATCTTCAAGTCCTCGGTGGACATCCAGCCAGAGTGGATGATGCTGGACCAGATCCCCTTCTCCACCTTCTCCAAGCTCTCCTACTCCGTCCCCGACCCTCCTGAGGACCTCCTCCTCTGCGGCGCCGTCGAGTTCTACGACCGCTCCTTTGACCGCATCAACCCCAAGAACGAGCGCCGCCTGGAGCGCTTCCGCTCCCGTAACTTCTTCAAGGTCACCACCACTGACGACCCGATCATCCGCCGCCTGGCGAATGAGGACCGCGCCACCGTCTTCGCCACCGACGCCATCCTCTCCGCCCTGATGTGCGCCCCCCGCAGCGTCTACTCCTGGGACATGGTGATCCAGCGGGTGGGGAACAAGCTCTTCTTCGACAAGCGCGACGGTTCCCAGCTGGACCTTCTCTCCGTCAACGAGACCTCGCCGGAGCCCCTGCCGGAGGCCAAGGAGGACATCAACTCCGCCTACTCGCTCAGCGTAGAGGCCGCCTACATCAACCAGAACTTCTCCCAGCAGGTCCTCCTCCGTGGCGGCGACAGGGTCACCTTCGAGGAGCCCAACCCGTTCGCGGCGGAGGGGGAAGAGGCCGCCCCTGTCGCCTATCGCTACCGCCGCTGGAAGCTCGACGAGGACATGTTCCTCGTCGCCCGCTGCGAGGCTCACGCCGTGTCCGACGTGAAGGGGCAGCGATCCTTCATCACCCTCAACGCCCTCAACGAGTTCGACCCCAAGTTCTCTGGCGTGGACTGGCGGCAGAAGCTCGAGACGCAGAAGGGCGCAGTCCTCGCCACCGAGCTCAAGAACAACGCCAACAAGCTCGCCAAGTGGACCGCACAGGCCCTCCTCGCCGGCGCCGACCTGATGAAGCTCGGCTTCGTTTCCCGCCTCCACCCCCGCGACCATTTCAACCACGCCATCCTCAGCGTCGCTGGCTACAAGCCCCGCGAGTTCGCCGCCCAGATCAACCTCAACACCGCCAACATGTGGGGTATCGTCAAGTCCATCGTCGACCTCTGCATGAAGCTCGGCGAGGGCAAGTACGTCCTCGTCAAGGACCCTGTCAAGCCGCAGGTCCGCATCTACGAGGTTCCTGCCGACGCCTTTGAGAACGACTACGCCGAGGAGCCCCTCCCAGAGGACGAGCAGGTTCAGCCGCCGGCCGAGGACGACGAAGCTTCAGCCGCCGCCGCCGCTGCTGCCGCCGACGAGCAGGCGGCGCCTCCCGCCGACGCCGCTGATGCTGCTGTTGCTGCTGCCGTCGACGGAGGGGACATGGAGAGCAGCAAGGACGCCGCTGCGGCCGCCCTCTGATAGAGAGTACTACTGCCCTCTTCCCCTCGCCTTCTCTCACTCCCTCTATCTCTCCGTCTCGAGTGTTTTGCTCTTTTACCTTCTTCCTAGAACAACAGGGTCGGTCCGTCTTGAGAAAGTTTTGATCAGGGCTGACTTCTCAAGTCAACGTCCTGTTGAGTCAATCTTTTGAGTTCCTTCTCGCTGACTTTTTCAGCTCGTTTCATTTTACCACTGCCCGCATCGGATATGGTGCCGACTGACCTCCGCCCGTACTTTCTTTCGTCTCGATCTGGTCTGCGAATTTTAGATGCTCTTTTCACGCATTCGTTCTAAGGCTGGCTCCTCTGGTCCATAGGCGACATCGGCTTTGACCTATCCGTTGACCTTTATCTTAGGATATCAATTCCTGGCTTATTTTCTTTCCCTTTTACGACATCGATGGAAGTCAGCTTAGAATGTGGGGGCTGTATTGTGGCCAAGATCCAGCACGTGCACTTATGGAGCTGACTTATGGCCAAGATCTCATTTTTAGTTGATACCACGTGAGTCTGACTTGGAGCTGACCAATTTTTAGTTCTCGGCAGTGTAAAAACACAGGAAGCACCCACTGTTCCCATCCTTCTACGAGGTGCTGCCATTTTAGTGAGGGAGAGTTGACTAGATTCTGTCGTATGGACGTTGACTTGAGCTCCACTAAAAATAGGTGGGGGTTGACCAGCTTGCAGCAGCCTAGGCATAAAATCCAAGACGATTTCGACTCAGCCCTAATGTACAAGGTCAACCCACTCTCTCGACCCAGCCTGCGCCTACCACACCCAGCAATCTACATAGAAAATCACCGAAAACAGGGAGCACAAACACACATTGCATAGCGTAGAGAGAAGATTATGTTCGCCAATCACAAAACAAAAAAGACGCTCGAATCGTATTCACACCATCCAATCCCTCTCACTTTCTCTCTCTAAAACCAGTGAAAAGAAGGGCAGCATATGAAGAGGGAAGGAGAAGAAGGGGTTGGAGAATCGATTGAGGTCGGTCGAGGCCATAAATAAAACCGTTGACCGTCGGGGGAGTCGGGGAGCGGGGAGGAGAACGTTCGTCGACTACAGGCTGGCGGCATCGGAGGCGGACGGCGAGTCGGAGACCGATTCGAACGAGTCCAGAGAGGGTGAGGCGGCGGCGGTTGAGGCCTCCGCACCGCGGACGTCGTCGATCATCTTGACGACGGCGGCCATCTTCGGCCTCTGCTCCGGCGACGCCGCCGTGCAGGCCATGGCGATCTGCAGCATCGCCACCAGCTCCTCCTCGATGTCCTTGTACCGCATCAGCTCTAGGTCGAACACCTCCGCCGTCCACTCCTCTCTCACCACCGAGTGCACCCACCGCGGCAGGTCCGCCGTCGCCGTCACCACGGCGCCGCCGCAGAGGCCCTCCTGCCCGTACGCCGGCGACGGGTACTTGCCAGTGAGCAGCTCCAGCAGGAGCACGCCGAAGGAGTACACGTCCGCCTTGTGCGACGTCGCCGCCTTGCGGCCGTCCGCCGCCAGCTCCGGCGCGCGGTAGCCGTTGCCCCGCGCGATGGCCGCCGCGGCGGCGCCGGTGGCCAGCGCCGCCAGGCCGAAGTCCCCAACGCGGGCGGCGCCGGACTTGTCGATCAGGATGTTGGAGGACTTCACGTTGCCGTGGGCGAGCTTCGGCGAGGACCGACAGGCCTGGTGGATGTACGCCAGTCCGCGGGCGGCGCCGCCGGCGATCCTCAGACGCGCCACCCAGTCTAGCGGCGTCCTCCCCGGCCCTCTGTTCGCTGCCGATATATCGACATGGAAGGAAGGAAAGATGGCACAAAAACACACAGTAATTACGTTTTCAGAAGACCAAAATAACTACGAAAAAAGGGGGCAAAAAAGAGAAATCCCATCAGCAATAGTTGAGACTACGAGGGCGATTTATAAGTTAATAAGGGGCCTCGAGTAGGCCCAAAAGCAATAGTTGATTGAGACTACGACGGCGATTTGTTACTGAAAACAAGTCATTGAACCGTGCTCGGGGAACGCGCCACCTGGCGCTGGCACGCGCATCGAAATCTCAGTAGGCTGCAGTTTTAAAATATTGATAGGAAAAGAGATGTAAAGCTGACGTCAACCTGGTCAGCTCCCGTCCCGACGACGGCGGCCGGAGGAGGTGGCAGCGGCGGCGCCGCCCGGAGGAAGGAACCCAAGGCGAAGGAGAAGGAGAAACCCGAGGAGAAGAAGGGGGACTTACCGTGGAGGAGGGAGAAGAGACTCCCGTCGGGCATGTAGTCGTAGACGAGGAGCTTCTCGTCGCGGGCGTAGTAGTAGGCCCGGAGGCTGACGAGGTGGGGGTGGCGGAGGCGGCCGAGAATGTCCATATGTTGCTCGAACTCTCTCCGACCGACGGCGGAGGAGGAACTCTGGGCACCGGCGCCGCCCGCCGCCTCGCGGAGGCGCTTCACGGCGACGGCGCTGCCGTCGTCGAGAACGGCCTTGTAGGCGGTGCCGTAGCCGCCTTTTCCCAGCATCTCCGCCGAGGCCCGCAGGAGGTCCTCCAGCTCGAACCGCTTCATGCCCTCGAAGAAGACCATCTTCCCCCGCTCGAAGGCGGGGGCGGCGCCGCCGGTGGCGCCGCCGCCGAGGGAGGCGGCGGTGTATGGGCTGGAGGAGAAGACGATCTTCTCCCCTTCCTGGAGCTGCGAGGGGCTGCAGCGACCGGAGAACTTGCGCCAGAAGTAGCAGAAGAGGAGCCCGGCGATGAGGACGAGGACGATGAAGTCGCCAACCACCAGAATCACCACCGCGAGCCGACTCATCCTTCCGGCGGGCGGCCGACGGTCGGAGGACGCCGCCGGCGGGGCGGGACTGCTGGCCGCCACCCCGCCGGCGTCGGGCTTAGCCCCCGGGGAGGACGACACCACGGCCGTCGCCGCCGGCGACCTCGGCGGCGCCACCGCCACCGCCGCCGCGCCAGATCCGGGCCTGCTGGGATCGGCCCGGACGACGCTGTCGCATCCCCGGAGAGGGCCGCCGCAGAGACCGGGGTTGCCGGCGAAGGCCGAGAGTGGGAAGCCGGCGAGGGACCTCGGGACGGCGCCGGTGAGGAGGTTGCCGGAGACGTTCAGGTCCTGCAGGTTGGGGAGATCGAGGCCGGCGATGGCCCCGGAGAGGCTGTTCCCGTCGAGGCGCAGCGTGAGCAGGTGGGAGAGCCGGTTGAGGGCGGCGACGGGGACGGGGCCGGAAATGTTGTTGCGGGAGAGGTCCAGGCGGTAGAGCCGCGAAGGGAGGGCGGCGGCGGCGGCAGCGGAGAGTGGCAACGGCCCAGAGAAGTGGTTGCGGGAGAGGAAGAGCAGCTTGAGGGCGCCGAAAGAGGAGAGGTCGGGGATGGGCCCGGAGAGGAGGTTCCCCTTCAGGCTGAGCACCCGGAGCTGGTCCAGGGCGGTGAGCGCCGGGAAGCCACCGCCGGAGAGGGAGAGTCCTTCCAGCACCAGGCGGACGACCCGCCGGGGAGCGACGGCGGAGGTCGCAGGCGAGCAGGAGACACCGTACCAGCCCGAGCAGGCATCCGGATCGGAGGCGTTCCAGGAGCCGAGCTTCCCGGCGACGTCCGCCGCCGACTTGAACTTCAGCAAGGCGGCGACGTCGGTGGACGCCGACGACGACGACGGCGACGAGCACCTGCAAGTCGGAACTGAACACCCTAGAAGGGAAAGCGCCACCACCACCACCAGCCGGAGAGAAAAGGGGAGGCGGCGCCGCCGTTGGCGCGGCTGCTTCCTCTCATTCATGGCTCCCTCCCCCACCTTCTTTCTCTCAATCTCTCTCTCCCTCTCTCTCTCTCTCTCTCTCTATCTCTCTCTTTTCTGGATCGAGCGGGGGGGGGAAGATGGCCCCTCCCTCCTTCCTTCCCCCCTTCTGGTTTCTTGCTTTCCCTCGGCACTCGGGCCGATACTGTTGCCTTCCACAGAAGGGTACTTATCCAATTATAGGAAAATTACGGGCTTTTATAAATCATATAGCATCAGATAGTTGCCTTCTCCCTCGGAGGATCTTTGAGAGCACAGCTAGGAAGGTGGGCCGTGCACGTGGCATGTCAGAGCTCGCCCGTGATCTGCCCTAACCGTATCTAACGGAAGCACTCTCTCTCTCTTGAGATTTTTGAATGGCGGTAGTCCCCACCACGAATCCGTTGCGCCAATGGACGACGTAGGCCCCCCCCACGATTCGGCGATCTGACCGTCCATTCGATGAGACCGACCCGCTGTTAAGAGGCCCAGCGAGGAGTCATTTATGCCATTTATGCCATTTTCCGACAGCGACGGCTCACAGTTAAAGCCTGCGGGATGACGTGGCCCATCTTGCGCTCGGTCAACTGTACACGATTATCGCAGGTGGCATCGGCCGTCCGCTGGAAAATGATATCTAACAATGCAATACCTGAATTTAAATTAATTGTTGAAATACCATTGTATCCAACTAGTTGAGGGGAGGTGGGACGGGGGTGGCATCGGGAGGCCCATCCTGACTTCATTCTTATTATCCAGAGAGAGAGAGAGTCGGAAGAAGGGTTGGCAGGGATTATGTTGGGCTAAGCCGGGGACGGAGGAGCATCTAATGAGCCCCACCAACCTCAGGGGACCAGGCTCTTGGCCATCCACATGTCCTTCGGCGCCCATGAAACCCCATAGGTCCATCCCCCCTCTTACTATCACCGACAAAGGTAGAACGACCGAGCGAGCGACAGAGAGAGATAGAGAGAGAGAGAGAGAGTAGAACCATGATACTATCCTTCCCACTCACATGCTCCTCGGCTCCCATGCGACTGCTGAGCTGCATCTCCCGTCTTACTATCGTAGACAAAGTTAGAACGATAGATGGATGGAAAGATAGATAGATAGACAGAGACAGAGAGAGTAGAGCCGTGATACTATCCTTCCCACCCACATGCTCCTCGGCTACCACACGACAAGCAGGTGCACCCCCATTTCTTATTATATCGTCCACAGAGTTAGAACGATAGCGAGAGAGAGAGAGAGAGAGAGTAGAGTAGAAAAGTTATACAATCCACCGGGGCTTTGCGATTGCTTGACGGGCAATTAGATAGCGGCATGTTGTTTCAAGGGGCATCAATAGGCCGGGAATCGTGGAGTTACATGCTTGAGTCCAGCTGAAGCCTAGGTTTGATAGAAGCTGACTAGGGTAGGCGGTGGTTATGTTCGGCTAACCCCGGGACGGAGGAGCATCTGTGAATCCCCAACAACTTCAGGGGACCAGCCCCTTCCCCACTTACTTTTCAACGGGGGTCAGATTTCATATGACTGAGAAACATTGTGAATAGATGCCGGAAATCTGCTAATATCCTATGTTATCATTCAAAACGAGGTTATAAAATTGTTCATGCATGTGATAGATTGAATTACTCTGGATGGAGTCGCCATCTTCCTATCTTTCCTCCATGCGTTGGAACATGACAAGGATGCCACAATTGTTTGTGGTTGCGAGGTATGGAGGAAAACAAATGCTCCTTTTCCCCCCCCACTTTTACATCATTTTGAATTGTTATTGAACCTGCTTCATTTGTTGACTTATCTTCTCTGATCATTTCTATAACTATGTTTCCTTGAACCTATGCATTGATTCCAAATATTTGTGTAATTATTTGACTTAATCCTTGGATTTAAAGGAACATATAAATGAAATGAACAAAGGGATTCTTTTTGAAAAATAGAAGTAAATATAGTTCTCATATATTCTTTGAGATCTTTTTCAATACAAAAGAACACATAGATGACACATCCCAATGATTACTTCTAATTTATGTATAGAAATATGTAGATAAAATTTCACCAAACCACTCAATGCATACAATATACAATTTTTGAATTCATAAAGCTAGTTTAGGACTTTTAGTGGTTAGAATAATATTCAACTTATATTTTAATTTTAAACTGAAGATTTACCTTCAATCTTAACTTTCCCAATTGTAAATCTCTCCGCATTAAGATGTATTAAAATCATCAAATATTTAATTATACACTCAAAGCTTATCATTTTGTTCATCATCAAGACAACATGGATTTCTGAAGTCAATGTAAGAGACTTTGAAGGCTTTAGTAATTATAGATCTTCTTTTCTTCTAGTTCTTCAAAGATGAAGAATTTCGCACATAGACTTTTGGAAGAATAAGGGTGTGGAAACTCTCCCTTCTAAGTTTTCTCTCTCTTTTTTCCAGCTCTAATGTGGAATGAAACTAACCTTTTAATGTGTGGTGTATTGGGACTAGATAATGGTCTGTTTAGGGGCACCATGTTTTGCTAGACCATGTTCCTTTTTCAATTATCTTTCTATTGCACACTTGTGACATCAACTTGCATCCAAAAATGCTCCTAATTTTTATGAAGTATAAATGATAGAACATTTTTCCTTTGAGAAAATTTCTCCTAATTTGATGTTTTTTCTCAATAACTCTAAGTTGGAGGCACCATTTTTGCATCATGTTATTTTTCTATTGTGTTTGGAAGACATATGTGCATGCATGCCTATATTATTGAGACAAACTTGCATCCAAAACTAGTTTAGTTATCTAAAGTATAAAAATAAACTTTTTCTATTCTTTTTATATTGTTATTTTTCCTTGAGAAATTTCTCTTAATTTTAAGAATTTTTCTTAATAACAATAATTCAGACCATATGCATATAAAAATTTAATATTTCAAATTTTACTAATACATATTTCCGCATTTTTTAATCACCAAAATGGGTTATGCTTTGAAGGCAAATAAATACTACCAATTGTAAAATTTAAAATAATATTTTGTTGAAAAAAACGTTTTAACATGGGAGAAATAGATGAGATTCTGAAGAAAAATAAAAACCTATTTTTACAATGGAAAGGGAAACCTAAAGCTGCTATAAAAATAGAATAAATGTGTAACATTCTTTTTTGACAATATGGGGTATGAAGTTTTGCTCTTACAAAAGAAGAGTATGGGGTTTTCTATGATGAAATGAGCATGGAAATCAATATGAGATAAAAAATAGAAACATAGATACGACCCCACACTTCAAGGGATAACATTGAAATAGGTATGACTTTTAGTTTTGAGATGTAATGAGAGCATAAAAATTTCTTCTAAAGAGTCAGAGTGATCACTCCTAAATTGTTGACAATATCAAAAAAAATTCTACATGAGATCTAAAGATAAAACGTGGATCCAATATATTAGACCTATTGGTTCAACAAGAGAAAGTGTGGATGGATGGAGAGGGAGGGCAGAGGTTTTGATTTGTTCATATTTTTTGATGACTCAATGATCATCTCTTAGTTATTATATTAAGAGATGTCAAATTTAAAATTTATAAAATTAAATTCACTTTAATAAAAATCAAGTAATTATAGTGAGTTCAAGTCAAATACAAAGGAAAGATAACAAATTTGTTGATAATTTCTTTTTCCCTAAAGAAAAATAGATATAATATTTATAATAGAGAGTGGGAGTAGAAGAGTTGTTTTGTCTTCAATCATTGGCAACCAATTCTCTTGTCTATTGTTACCGTCAAGTTCTTAATCAATAGTAAAATCATAAAAAAAACGTAATTTACAAAAAATAAAGATAGAGAGGAAGAGAGAGAGAACAAATGTGAAGAGGAAAGCTTTTCTAGTAGATTCCCCCATTGACAAAGAAACAAATGATTTGTTTAGGAAGAACAACACAAACATCAACTGAAACATAGGCAGAATGAGATTTAGAAATGAGTTTAGAATATACTCAAGCAAATAAATCATTAATGAATAAATTTAATATACTAAAAATTAAAAATCTCCCATTTACACCACATATGAGGCAGATGAATAAATTAAAAATCTAATGCAAATAAATTAGCTTTTTTAATACAAAATTCAGTTTGCTAATGAAAATAAAACTATTCCAAACTCGTATGTGGTGAATGAGTCCAAGAGAAATCCTAAATAAAAATCCTAGAAATCATTTTTTTCCTCAATTCATCTATTTGTCACCTAAGTGAATCAAGGAAATGAAATCGAAATGATGTAAAAATCAGATTTTTATCACAATCTGGAAAGATAATCACATGAAAAACTAGAAGAACACTACTAGTTGTCACCAACAAGAAGGAAGAAGAGAAAACGTTCTCATTTTACCCTAGATTGGAAGTTTAATACTTGAATTAAATCTAGAATTGATCACAAGTAGTTAGGAATTAATTTTATTAAAATTTCATTTATTTTCAGTGATAATTGGCTTCTAGTGTATTTCTGCCCATTTCCATCCATTTTCTGTAAATTTCTGCCTCCTTGAATGTTCCTGTTAATGAGTTTCTTTAAGGGATGCCTTAATGGGCTCAAAATGCCTTAGAAATCAATAAGTTATAAAATTATTATGAAAATAATCAAAAATCAGGAAAAATCATGTATGTAGAAAATTGATATTCTGATTTTAGTCCTATTTATGATAGATTTAGGGGTAAAAATGTCAAGTAAAATATATTAAGATATAATCAAAGAATATTTGAAGCATAAACATACTATAAATATGAAAAAATTGTATATTAAGTATAGATTTTGTGTAATTAATCTATAATATGTTTTAATTGATTTCACATTAAATCTATATCTTTTGGCATGAATTAATGCATCAAATATGAGAATTATGTGTTACTTATCACATAAGAATGATATATTATATACGAACTATAGCTGATACTACCTAATTGAATTAATTAGATCTTGTGGGGACTAGGTTCAAATTTCTCATTCTAGTAGGATATCTAAAAAATACATCAATTGCTGCACTTTTTACATGGATCACTTATTTGTAACACTTGAAGTTATTAGAAGAACACCTTTTAGATTACTCATTTTGCTCTATACCTTGACTTTCTAACCACAATATTCTTGCACCAATGGAAACCAAATCAATATTTGATTCATTTTTTCACTGTGGGATGAAACTGAATCTAAGTCAATGAATCTTACTTACAACAAAGGGTTATGCTATTATTGATAGCTCAAAAGGTAGTGGTTAAAATAAGGTCCAATAGCTAAAAGGAGAAAGTATTTTTTCTTCCCCTTTCAAGACATTTTTGAGATCAATGGTTTCCAAGAACTTTCTAGAGAATGTAGGCTACTAAATTAGGTGAAGTTTATGTTGATGCCCTTAATTTTGATATTACAAGTGAAAATTTTTATTTATATCAAATCATTGAGTGATTTATATACGTCACTAATGTGTCTCAAATATTCAACATGATTGACATAATCATTATCTAGAATATATTAGATGATTTGATGATCCTATCACTAATAGTTGAATCTAAGATGTTAATCCTTGAGATCAAGGTTGACGTCAACAAATATTTTTCAGTTGGAGACCAGGTTGACATCAACAAATATTATCAGTTGGAGAATTATTTTTCAATTAAAGGATAAGTATGTAGTTAAAATAGATATAAGAAAATCATGTAAATGATTTTATTTTTTCTTATATATTACTCTAATTGTAATATGTAGTGTCTAGAATATTTCAAAATGATGATATATGATCTCTCAAAAATTAAGTCATCAAAAGAGTTAGAAAACAAAAGATATATTAAAGCTTCATACACAACATCTCAATAGTGAGACATCAAATGTTTACATGTATGAAGATTCAACAAAAACTTGATGACTTGGATTTGACTTGGACATTCAATTATTTTTTGTTAAGTTAAGAAACTTTAATTCAAATTTTAATGGAAACAAGGGAATAAGGACATTCAACATTTAGAAGGTTCAAAGGTTATTACTAAGTACTAGAAAATAACAAGTATTTGAATGAAGATTTCTAATGTTGAACACATGAAGCTATGAGCACAAGCATCACTATATCACTAGAATATCATATCACTTCTAAGTAACTTTGGCAAAGTAATTGGTTACATATTCATAATCATTTTTCTCTATCGAGCCCTAAGGTAGTTGGGTGATGATGAGAGAGTGTACTGGGCAAAGCCACAAGGTGTTGGTAGCTGATTTTAGCCCTAGAAGGATCAAGTCTCTAAGGAAACAAATTGGAGTTGTTGGATGGCTAAGCCCATGAACATCAATTGGTACTTTTTGAGGGAAATGGTGAATATTAGAAGGAAGTTTCCTCTAGGATTGAACATAGTAGTGTGAGGAGGAAGTCAATATAAAAATCTGAGTTCTCGATGACTGAGAGTTGAGTGACCATCTCAAGTGACAGCTATGATGAGACATATCTACATGTATAAGAAAAAATAAAAAATCATTAGAAATTCTAGAAATCCCAATTCACCCTATCTTGATTTTCACCTAGCCCTATAATTCTATGAATATAGGCTTGGAAAAGGGAGAAAGAGTAAACCTTTCTCCTCTTTCATATTGCAGTTTTGTTGGCTTTAAGAAGGACCACTTGGTCTCCAGGCTACTAGAAAGAGTTTCAAGAGAATCATCCTTCTTCATTTATTACATCATTGATTCCTCTATTGTGTTCTTGGTATGAATGTAAGAATTTCATCTACGAACCACAAAATAGTTTATGACGAATTTATCTTCTATTTGAGGTGATTCAAACTAATCCAATATCAATTGATATTTTTAATATTATGTTATTAATTTCTTTCTAAATACTTATTTTTGTAATAAATAACAAAGGCAACAATCTGCTGCACTTTTACATCTATTATTTCAATAGTGTTGTGACCTTTCACAAATTCACATATATTTAATATCTCATATCTAATAATTAATTTATTAATTTTTTGTATGCTCTAATTTATTTCAAAGCCTCTTTTGTCACAACATTTGGTATTTGAGCCAAACTAGTATTTTTTTATTAAAATTATTCTTTAAAGATGTTAATAAAAAAAATTTAAATTTAAAGATTCAATGGAAAGATTGACTTTGGTCTATGGCAAAAGAGAGTGAAGGCACTCCTTGAATAATATGGATTTCACAATACTCTTTGTTATAGAGAAAAATCTGAAAAATTAATGATGAAGACTATTATAAACTAAATCTGAAAGTAGGTAGCACTATTGTTATTAATATGTGAAAGAAATTATAAATGGTGTACATGTCTATGGCACTCATGAAAAGCTACATTTTATTAAATTTTATCAGATACATATGAGTGAATAGGAAAACAAATTATGAATGTTAAAAATATCATAATTTCTCAACTTTGTAATGTGAAAGTTAAATTTGTGGAGGAAGATTAGGCTATGATTCTTGTCGCATCCTTACCTGTCATATAATCATTTGGTGACTAACATTTAATATGGTAAAGATACCTTAAAGATAGAAGAGGTTAAATCAACATTGTTATCTAACAATATTAGACTATAACCTCATAGGTGGTCTAAGTTTGGTTGCTAATGGTGTTGGCAAGGTAGAAGATGTTTGAAATCTAGTAATAGTAAGAATTTTTTTTGATTTCACTTGAAATGAAATAATATTTACTGCTACTATGAAATGGAAGGTCATGAGAAATTAGATTTCCCTAAGTTTAAAGAAAAATAAAAAGCTAAAGACCTAATTGTGGAGACTAGTGTTGTATCTAACTTAGAAGCTCAAGAAGATATTATTCCAATCTCCTTAAGCTTAGATTATTCCAAAACTAGGATGTTCTAATTTTAGATTGATTTGATGAATAAAAATCTCATGATGGAGATAAGACTATGATGTGAAATAATCTAAAATATAGAATAGATGTGATGACATGTAAAATCTTTGACGTAGTAATTATAAATTTGATACATATGAAGCATATACTAATTTGAGAAAGAGTTTGATCTCCTTAAATATCATTGATATGAATGCTTGTAATTGGTCTTTAAGCTACTAGAAGGAGATTTGGGAGAATCATCCTCCGTTTATTCCATCATCCCTTCCTGTGTTCTTGGTGTGGATGTTGGAGTTTCATATTCACACCAGAAAATATTTTATCACATATGTTTCATTTTTTTTAGGTGATTCAAAATAGTATATTATCAACTGATTTTTGTAACATTTTATTATTGATATATTGAAAATACTTATTGTTTTAAGGAGTACAAAAGGCATTGGTCCACTGCACTTGTGATAGCTGCCATATTTATGGTGTACTGTGGTCTTTTGTACAATTTCATAAATTTGATATCCGAGATCCAATCCGTGTTTCCTGGAGTTGTGTCTGTTGTGATTTATTTTAGGGTTAGAACAGCTTCACATGTGCATACAAATTGCATTCTCAGAGTAGGATCTGGTCGAAAATCCTCCACATATTATAGCATGTAGATTCTCATGCTTGCAGCTAATTAAACAGTATTAGAGTGAGTTAACTTCACAATTTTTTAAAAAAACATCATATTCTCTGAATGGGGAACAATGACCATGAAAAAAATAAAATCATAGTGTTTGAACCTTTGTTGGATTTTGATGAGGTCTTGAGTCTGCTGCAGGCAAGGTCTGGCATCAACGCAGTACCTGGGGTGCTCACCATCTTCTCTTCAGTACCAAATGGAAGACAGAGCAGCTGCCATACCATAGTAGATGAGGACTGCCAATGAAGACGCTTCCCATGTTATAGAGGCCCCAAAAATGCCAAGGTCACATCATCGCCCAGGCTGAGGAGGCTACAGCTGACACCGTGAACCACTGAGACCTTATTTGTGAAGGTCTGCTAATGGTAGTGATTGCACCTTACATGCAGCTGGGAGCTGAGGATGTGCGTAAAGCATATATGAAGTCCGTGAGTATACATAAGACGACCAAGGTAATGGCATCACTGGTTGGAGGTGAGGAGGGGTGATATGTTATTGTCTCTAATCATCTGATTCAGCTGCTTGTTCAATTTACCAGAATCAAGGAAGAATGCACAACCATGGGAACATAAGGTAGGGAAGAACGTTTTTATAGTTTGTCGGCCTTCCACCTGTCCACGGCTCCAGATTTTTCTAATATCTGGGGATCACTGAACTTCCAAACGCAAGTTACAGGCACTGGACTTTCGTAGGTCTGGTTACTAGAGTCGTAAATTTGTGCCATGGTTGGGTTCAACACCTGTTTCTTTTCACGATGGTATCAATCACAAAGCACCATCCGCAGATAGATGCATATATTTAGCCTATATAGCAGTGAAAAAAGGTACAGTAAATGCTCGCAGAAAGTTACAGCAGCTCTCATAAGTCTTAAATGCTGTTTTCTGTATTTACAATGGCTGGCGAAGACTCTTGAATGTTGGGAATTTTTTTATAGTTTTGCCGTATCTTTTCAATGCCTTCCATATAGCTTTTCCCGGCTTTAAATGCTATTAATAATTTATGACAGACGGCCAGATTGATTACGTAAATACCTGAAATACCAGAACATTAGTAGTGGTTCAGTGGTTGATTTATGGCACATGAAAGCAAGAATCTTGAAAACTGCAAATGGGCTTTAGGATTAAAATCTTGAAACCGTTTGTACGCAAGAAAATCATTTTCAACTTATTGTACGGTCATCATGCAGACCTACATTATTGTACAGTCATCATGAGTGTTCCTTTATTGTGCGGTCATCAGTTAGCATTGCTCTGATGAGGACGTAAATAAGGACGCAGAGGACGTCCATTGACCGGCGACGTCTCCAGAGGGGAGCGCGCCAAGCGCGGTCCATTTGAGTAGTCTCCGACTTCCTTCTGAAGTAACTTTCCTCGGCCAGTTGTTTGTGGAGGAGGAGGCGGGCGGACATGGCGGGACGGCGCGGGGAGGACTACCTGCAGCTGTTTGTGGAGGAGGGAGACTGGTACGATCGCATTGTTCTGGGGACGCTACTTCCCGGATGGGCGTGGGAGTCGCTTCCGCGGCCTGTACGGGCATGGCTTCGCAACTACATTGGCGGCGTTCTGCTTTACTTCGGCTCCAGCTTTCTCTGGTGCTTCTACATCTACTACTGGAAGCGCAATGTCTACCTCCCCAAAGGTGAAGGCCGCAGTTCCATTTCGTTTCTCTAGGTTACAGTCCGACACCCCCCTCCCTCCGATTTCGAATGGTAATAAGGTCACAGTCGCACTTAGAACAAGTGTTTTATTTGATGAAGGTATCATAATTTTTCTGATTGGATTGCTCGACAGATGCCATCTTTTAGATGGCTTTCGTCTCTTTGCAAAGGAAACGATGTTTTTGGCTCGAAACTGTTTATCCAACCAGTTTATGCAACTTAATGCGCCTTTTTGGGTAATTATGATTTTACGTTCAGCACAGACCGGATATTTTATTGTCATGTAGCTAAATATTCCTCAAATGGTGCCATTTAGTGTTGCCCTGCTTCAATCATTTAATACATGGCTTTATTTTATAGAAAATCGTTCAGTTAATATCTCTCGTAATTATCTTTGTTGTATAATGATGTTTTCTCCATGGTTGAAGCCACTTTACTGTTCAGATTATAGTCTACACATAATCTACACGTACTGCATTCTGTGTTGTCACATAAATAGAAAAGTATAATCTAATTTGCTAAATATAGCACTTCCCTCTTACCTCATCAGTTTCTCCTTAAAGCTCACACGGTGAGGTGTTGAATGGAATTAACTATATTTCCTATCTTGTCGATGATTTTTCTCACAAGAGGGTTTTGTATGATAATCACTTTGATGCCTAGAGATATGGATCTTGGTTTTTCTTCTTCTAGAATGTTCACTTTAGAATTATGTTGGTGGGCATCGAGCTATGAAAAGTTATGGAGAGTCATCTCGGATGATATAAAAAAGAATGATACCTCATGTCTCAAAAGTTGTCTCAAATGAATCTGTCACACAGCTTTGGTTTTGGCCTTTACTGTTTTTCAAATTCTGATCTTGATTCCAATCCTTATATCGCTGCAGTCTGATTTTGCAATAGATCAAAGAACATATGTTGTTGCTGATCTCTTTGGTATTAAGTACTAGAACCTAATGATCCTTAGGAGAATGTCATTAGATAGATTTTTTTCATACATGATCGGTTGGACATTTGTTGATATATGTCTCGACTATGTCTGAAGATTTTTTTTCATGCAGATGCCGTCCCTTCAAATAAAGCCATGCTTCTTCAAATAGTTGTTGCAATGAAAGCCATGCCTTGTAATAGTGTTGTTCCAACATTATCTGAGTACATGATTCAAAGAGGGTGGACTCATTGTTTTTCGGTCATTAGTGATGTTGGTTGGCCTCTTTATATTTTCTATTTATGTACATATTTAGTAATATGTGAGTTTGGAATTTATTGGGTGCATAGAAAGTTTCATGACATCAAGCTACTTTACAAGTGTATACATGCGACACATCACATGTACAACAAACAGAATACACTTTCTCCATTTGCTGGTAAAGTTCACTATCTAGTAGGACTTTGAAATATGTGTCTTACAATTGATTTCTGAAATCATGATGTATTATCTGAATGCAAATGCGTTGTGATATGTAAGTGATCAATTCTATGGTGTATTTTTGATGCTCCAACTGGATTTAGGCAATCATGTGCTACAAACCTTGTGAGGAAGTTTTCACTCATTTGAAAGTTGTCCTCAACTTGTATTATGAACATTTTTATAAAATTGTATCTGTTTGAGGTTCTCTTCAAATTGCACTACAACCTTGTTACTGGCAGCACAGATTTCTTTTGATGATGGAAGATAGACCAAATTAAGAAGTTAGTAGGTTTGTGACAATTTTTTTTGGATGATTGATATGTAGAGATATAAACCTTGGGGATCAACTTCTCTCACATTATTGCAAGAAATCCCAATAGCCTATGTGAATCATAGAACTACCACGTTCAACACTATTGAGAGGAAAAGGTTCAACAAAGAGTGAGGAAATAGAAGAAAATAGATTTCAAGGTGTACAAAGAAGGATAAATGAAAGTAGACTTAGTTGTGAATATTGAGACGGTCCTTGGAAATGATGGTGGTTTGTGGGTTGAAGGTACTTTGTATTTCATTGTAGCAATACTTTGCAGCACTAGTATCATAACATGATTGTTTAAAATATGATCAATTACTCTCTTGATTTTGTATTTCCTCATTTTATGTTTTAATTGTGATAGATTATCATGATTAATTCATCATAGTATAATTGATCTTTCCCTTCAAAATGAAAGGCACCTTTAATAATTGGGATAGATGCACATCATATAATGTTTTTTTTTCTCTCCTATCTTTTCCAGCATGAATTTTTATTTTATCAGAAAAATTTAAATCCTCTTTAATAGTCTCTCTATTTTTTTATTTCACTTTAAAAGAAATTATGTAAACACCAGCTGACGATGCTCTTCCCATTGTTCTTTGTTCTTCTCCACAGGGTTTGCATTCCATCCGCTTGATGGGATACTACAGGCATTGCCACACACAATTGCCCTATTCCTTGTGCCCACACATCTCATGACCCACATGCTCCTCTTGTTCTGTGAGGGTGTGTGGATGGCCAACATCCATGACTGCATCCATGGTGAAGTGTGGCCCATAATGGGTGCTGGGTACCACACCATACATCACATAACATACCACCATAACTATGGCCACTACACCATTTGGATGGATTGGATGTTTGGCACCCTATGTTGTCCTGAAGAGGATGTGAAGAAGGCGAGCTGACCACCATCATCCTCCCTAGCATAGTGTTGATGTGGATGATAGCAAGATGTGAACTCAATGTTGACTCTCCCCCTCTTTATGTTCATGGTAGGATTAAAACAAAATCCAAAAATTGTAGTAAAATATACGTATAAAAGCTAACTCAATCAATTAGATACTTATAAGCAACCATTACTTTTGAATATTTTTTATATCAAATTAATTTATTGAATTTAAACTACTCATACTACCACTCAAGATAGTTCAAATATCAATAGATATTATTTAAAAACTTTAAATTTTACATATAGTGAAAGTTTTGATTTCCACATTAAGATTGTGATTCAATACATAATGATTATAACTTGTTAGAGATCTATTGAATAAGTTTTAATTCAAAAGTCAATAATTTATTTAGAGATGTATTATTAATTCTATTTTGATGATAACATATCCTTATTAGACTTGATCAAATTGATATAGTTCATGTATATATGTTGGTATTGAAGAGTCATGTCATGTTGTTTTCAGCCATTTCAATTTCTAAAAAAACTTTAGGATTTAAACATTGAAAATTGATGAAAAATAGGACAGGTTATTTCTCTCTCAATTCAACACCTCTCTAATGTATTTTTTTTGTAATGATCATTTTTTACCTTTCTACCATTCCAACATTTTTTTTGATTTTTTCTAGAGAATTTCACGTCAATTTGAGAGTTCTTCATAGTTTGTCAAATGACAAAAAGGAAATGAGTCAAGGAACTAAGTTCAATCTTCACAATATTTTCATCAATGAAATCAAAGCAATAATAACTATTATGTTGAGCAAGATTCTCTACCAGAAGAAGACAGTAAGAATCAAATATTTCTCATCATTTTATTTATTACATTTCTAGTTCTACTCAAAAGGTCAATGACTTCAATCTGAAATACTTCATAGTTAAATTCTTGCTAATCATCATGAAACCAGAAATAGTGTTATTCTTGGAGACGAGATATTAGAAAGGGTCTTCAGATTCTAGAGAACTTTAGATTTAGCATTTTAACCTCCTCTTTCTTGATTTAATTGTGAATTGAAATTGTATAAGTATTACTAGAATCTCTCTCTACACAGATGAGAAATATATTTATTTGAAAGCATATTCTATGGCTAGCAACTCATGCAACAACTTAGGAGGGAGTTCAATCTATAGACCACTATATATTGGATCAAATTATGTATTCTCAAAGAGAAACATGGAAATATTTTTTTAAACCTTCCATATGAGTTAGAAGATTATCATAGATGTGGCAATAAAAATTAAGAATGTATCTATAGACCAATATTGGAGCATTTTATCACTAAATGTGAAAGCTAGGACTTCCTTGATAAGTGGACTAGATCTTGAGGAATTTGAAAGAGTTTTTGACTTGTGAATCAAGCAATTAAAAGAGGTTTTATTTGTGAAGGATCAACAAAAATTAAGGAGTCAGATTTTCTAGTTAGTTCTTATATATGATTTGATTACAATGAATGAAAATGAGGCCATCTCTCAAATGTTAGATGATAGTCTTTATATGATTAGTGGTCTAAAAAAATTTAAGAATAATTCATGCCATTTGTTACATGAATAGAATGATTTTAATGTCTTTTCTCTCATCTTGGAGAATCAAAGTCACATCCATAGAGGAACCCAAGGACCTGACCAAATCATCTTTAAATGATCTATTAGGAGCCTTATTTATATATGTTAAAGCTAGATTTTTTGATATTTAAATAGTTTTATTACTTTAGATTTGTGTGTTAACTAGCAGAATAAATATAACAATACATTGTTAATTTTGTAAGTCTAAAGTTAAAGAACTTAACATAATTTTTTATTCTAAAAATATAAGATAAAATAAAAATATGACTACATGTTGGCCACTTGACACCTAGCAGCTGGCTTGGAGGGGTGTTGTGCTCAAGTGGGTGGACCCAAATCAGGGAAGCCATGAGTTGGGCTTGACTCAAGTGGCTAAGGACTTGCCTCACACATATGTGTGTCACTCCCTTGCCAAGTCTCGAGGGCCAACTGATCATGGAACAAGGAGCATCGTACACACGTGCATGTAAGGGTGGACCACCTATTACCTTTTCTCAAGATGGTCATGGACATTATTTTATTCAAGAGAAAAGATCTCTGCACACAATGTAACTTTGATATATATTGAGTTTAATTGTTGAAAAGTTGTGTAAAACTAAATCTCATTTGTTTTAGGATAACAATTTGGAGCATGATGTGATCTAGTGGCACTCAACAAGCCACATTATCATATAAGGTAGATCACACTACAAGTGAACTGCCACAATACTTGAAACATGAAGCATTTCATCGATGTTTTGCAAATCCTATACTACTCAACATGCATATGACCATAAAAAATGATCAAGTGGCATACAAAGAGCTATGATATTGGAAACTTAAGTTTTTGCACATATCATTATTAGGGATATAAAGATAATTATTAATTGTTATATGATAAAATAATTATTATTGATTATCTTTAAAACTTGATGACATTCATGAATACGACATCCATTCTTTCCTCCTCTTGCTTGATCAATGCTTCTAACAATCAGCGAGCTTGATCCTTCCTTCCTCAATTACACTCAAGGCCTCCGACAAGTGGTAAGTTCTTCCATTCTCTTCTAAGATGACAATGATAATGTGGTTGATCCCTCTTTTCACCGAATCTATTTGGCAAGCAGCACAATATTTCTAGACAATACTTCTACAACATGGTGTGTCACATCTGGATGAAATCAAACTATCACACTAGTGTCTCTAGTTGCCTAGGAGGTAGACTAAATTTGGGCAATAATTTTTTTCTTATTTTTAGTATTTATTTGCAAACTTTTGTCATTTATTTATATTTTATAGTAAGTTATTACTATTTCATATATGTTCCAATTAAAAATGAGTAAAATTGATTCAAATCTTGATAAATAATTTTCATTCTTTTTCTGAATCCTTTGAAACTCATTTGAGATCAAGCTAAGATTGTGTCCAACTTATTTTCTACTGATTTTTGCAATTAAATCTTGAAGTATTTTGTGCTCTTGGTGTTCTACAAATAATGAGTATAGTTCTATTTTTTAACATAAAATCAATAAGATTAAAGGCTGATTAATGAGTGTTGAAGTATTAAAATAAGGTGGAGACATTCACGCTTGACCTAATGTCACATGTGTGAATTCTCAACTGCACATTTGTTTGAGAATTATGGTCACCATAAAAATGAGTTGACCATGTTTATTTATTAATTTATTATCATCTTATTTCTCTCTCCCTCTTTACGTGAGACCTCTTTTTTTCTCGCCATCACTCATGAGATTTCTCTCTTTTACAAAAATTCTCTTCTATCTCTTTCATGAGAGTTCTCTCTTCTCTCTCTTTCCTTCTCTATTTTCTTTATTCTTTTCACCTCACCTTTTCATTTTATTATTTTTGTTAAATAGTGATAAAATATTAAAATCACTCTATATATAAACTAATTTTTTTCATAATAGATCAATCAATCTTTATGTATTTAACCTGAGACTTACATTTATACTAATATTTTATTAAGTTTTAATTATAAATATCATTAGATAATAGACATTTAAACACAATGATAAGTATATGATAAGTTTTCATTATCATGAGTTAATAATTAATTAATAATATAGTTTTAGTCTTAAATTATGATAAATAGACTTATATCTATGTTAAATTGTGAAAAGTAGTTTTTAATTAGTTAACATAATTTTTTGACTAATTATGTGATTTTATATAATTTTATATAATTTTTATAATCATATTTTTGACAAAAAAGAAGAAAAATAAAATAAAATAGAAAGATAGAAAAAGTGGGGAACTTGTTGAGCCTACAAGCAGATCGAAAGCACAATCAAGCAGAGTTACGAGTAAGGGCTTAAGTAGCTATGGATGGACTAATAGGAGGCACAGGCACGTGTGCGTCACTCCCCTTCCATATTAATGGTGGCCAGCTCAGCATGGGGCAAGAAGTGATTGTACACATGCGAGAAAGGGAGTCATTACTTTCTAAATCTCGTATTACTATACATTTATCTCAAAATTTGGCATATAATCCTAGAATATTTTAATGATTTTTATACCTCAAATAACTCTTATTTATCAGAAGGAAGTACTTTGATGTTGTTACTTTATAAGGTTATTTACATACTTATTTCACTCTCTCTCATGCAAACAAGTGACTGATGAGGATTCAAATTCTACTAGAGCCAAAACTTATAATTTTATCTAACTAAATCATGATTTTCTTACAAATTGATAGTGAAAGATTAAGCTGTTAAAATCACTCAATCATTAGTAAAAATCTCATCAATGCAATTTGCATAGCATCATTACTAAAATTATTCAATGATTCATGATAAAAGGATCATGAATCTATTGAGTAAATCATCTCTAATTGATCGTTGAATAACTCATCATTGATCTATTAAGAGACAAGAAGCTACCTCCTAAGAGCGTACTAAATGTGATAAAGAGTTTATTCTTGTTGTGTGGACTTGAAAATGAAGCTCTATAACATGTGTCCTACCTCCATCTAATTTATCTTTATTAGGTGACAGTTGCTTGAAAGCTACAAAGTCGTCATGTTTCTACTCCACTAGGTGACAGCCACCAAAGATGATTCAATGACCCACTTTATTGATTTTTAGACTTCACAAGAAAATCTAGAGATTGTCTACATTGTATTTGTTCAAAAAGAACCTTTAAAGTTATCGATGTTATACGACAATCCTTTCAAATGCTAAGGATTTTGACACATTACCGTCGCAATGTTAGAACTCTATTCCACTATTATTTTACTTGTTTAACTTTCACCATCATTTTGTAAACTTCAAAATGAGATTCAACAAATACTCATGTCATCCATATCCAAGAAGAGTCTTTGAGATTGTGCACATCATTCAATGATTCTCTCAAATATAAAATTTCGACAATCATTATTGTGAGATTGAAACTCTGACT